GCCTCATACAACAAGCCATGATTTGGCAAGGGGTTTACAACACTAATCATTTGGATTTTGCTAAGGCAGGGTAGCTCGTACAAACAGCCAAGAATTCAAAACGGTTTCTGAGATCGCGAGCTATCGCGGACAATGTGCCTTCAAAATGCTGACGCGCACTGACGCACGCACCAGTTTTTGCAACATCCACCATCGATATGAGAACCCTCTGATAAAACTCCTTCATAGGGGTTTATGCCGCCGCTCAATTCGAAAACCGAAGCCCTTAACCCTTAATAACCCTAAACCCTAAACAACCCCCAAAGCGTAGACCCTAAACAACAACCTTATTTGAAAACCGAAGCCCTTAACCCTTAATAACCCTAAACCCTAAACAAACCCAAAGCGTAGACCCTAAACAACAACCTTATTCAAAAACCGAAGCCCTTAACCCTTAATGACCCTAAACCCTAAACAACCCCAAAGCGTAGACCCTGAAGAACAACCCTATTCGAAAACCGAGGCCCTTAACCCTTAATAACCCTAAACCCTAAACAACCCCAAAGTGTAGACCCTAAACAACAACCTTATTTCCCTTAACCCTTAAAAAAAATTCCCTAAACAACCCCCAAAGCATAGACCCTAAACAACAACCTTATTCAAAAACCGAAGCCCTGAACCCTTAATAACCCCTAAACCCGTAAACAACCCCAAAACGTAGATCCTTAACAACAACCTTGTTAGAAAACCGAAGCCCTGAATCCTTAAAAGCCCTAAACCCTAAACAAACCCAAAGCATAGACCCTAAACAACAACCTTATTAGAAAACGAACCCCTGAATCCTTAATAGCCCTAAACCCTAAACAACCCAAAAGCGTAGACCCAACCCTAATAGAAATCCGAAGCCCTAAACCTGAATAACCCCAACCGTAGACCCCGAACAACAACTCTACTAGAAAATCGAAGCCCTTAACCTTTAATAAGCCCAAACCCTAAACAACCCTAAAGCGTAGACCCAAACAACAACCATATTACAAAACCGAAGCCCTTAACCATGAATGACCCTAAACCCTCAACAATCCAAACGCGTAGACCCTAAACAGCAACCCTACTAGAAAAGCGGAGGCCTGAATCCTTAATAACCCTAAACCCTAAACCCTAAACAAACCCAAAGAGTAGACCCCAAACAAAAACCCTATTAGAAAACCGGGGCCCTAGACCCTTAATAGTAGACCCTAAACAACAACCCTTTTCAAAACCGAAGCCCTTAACCCTTAATAACCCTAAACCCTAAACAACCCCCAAAGCGTAGATCCTGAACAACAACCCTATTCGAAAACCGAAGCCCTGAACCCTTAATAACCCTAAACCCTAATCAACCCCACAAAGTGTAGACCCTAAACAACAACCCTATTCAAAAACCGAAGCCCTAAACCTTGAATGACGCTAAACCCTAAACAACCCCAAAGCGTAGACACTAAACAATAACCCTTTTCAAAACCGAAGCCCTTAACGCTTAAAAACACTAAACCATAAACAACCCCAAGGCGTAGACCCAAAACAACAACCCTATTAAAAACCGAAGCCGTAAACCCTTAAAAGCCCGAAACCCTAGACCCTAAACAACCCCAAAGCGTAGACCCTAAACAATAACCCTATTAAAAACCGAAGCCCTAAACCCTCAATAGACCTAAACCCTAATAAACAATAACCGTATCAAAAACCAGGTCCTAAATCCTTAATAACCCTAAACCCTAAACAAGCAAACTCAAAACAACCTCAAACTCTATGAGCATCCATTCTCCGCACACGGGACAAGGGAAAGAATCTCAGTAGTTGGCTCCGCAATGACTAGCCTTGCCCTGAGCAAATTCATGGTGCCGCTACGCCCCGGCGCTGATCAACTTCGCTGGTTTCGGTGGGCTTCAAACATTGATCCGTGTTGTATCATGACCCAGGAGATCCTGTTCCAGGATCCGTTTCCCAACACCATTTCGTACCTGTGCTGACCTCTTACCTGCATGTTCCAGCCACTACACTCACAGCAACTCCTCGCAGCAATCTGCCTCCAGGTGCCCCTCCGTCAAACCTTTCCTCAGCACAAATGCCACATGCTTGGGCTAGCTGGCTGCCTGCTACTTTTGTGCCCACACGCCCACACTGCCGACATGCATCGAGGCTAACCATGCGGAGACCGCTTTGTCCAAATTTTCTCGAAACTCCTCAGGTTGAAGAAAACCCTGAGAAATGGAGGGCACCAGCAGGCTGGAGGCTTGCTTCCAGGTTTGGAGAGTGTAAAGCAAAGGATCCTCACATCGACGTTTGGAACGTCTAAGCTTATCCGCCTGTGCCACACCTGGCGTTATACCGCTGGAAAGTATTCGATACCACTGCTTCCCAAACAGAATCTAGACAGAAGCCCAACAAGACCAAAACCCCAAGTACATAGGGCTTTGAGGAGCGTCGTCATGAAGCTTGCTGTACACAAAGAGGTGAGTCTCTTGCTTCTCCCTGAAGAAGTGCCCATAGTGCGCCATGAAGTGTCTCATGTAGCTGCCGAAGCCTTCAACATCAGTATACCAGCTCTTAAACTCCGCGAGCAGTGGCTCTTGCCATGCCATGGCGACAATCCGCAAGAGCACTGTGCAGCCGAGAGATCTGAACAGCGATTTGCTGAAGGTGCTTGAGCCAACCCGGCCGAAAGACTGATGCTATGCTTCACTGCGCAGCCACAATGACCATCACACACCGCACAATCTGGCTTGCGGCACTCGAACAGAAGCTTGGAAGCATCGTCTGCTGATGAGTAGACACGCGCCTGCTAGCAGCTTTCGCAGAAATTTTGCTGATGGGATTTTGGCGAGACTGCATTCAGCTGCGCTGCCCTGCCTTGAGCACGCAGCTGACGAGTACCCCACTGCTGCTTTCGTGGAACACTGTTGCCTCGAAAGCCATGCAGGATGGACTTGTAATCAAAGTTTTCTTGTACAATCTACACGTTAGCCTTTTTGCTCTGCACGCCGTTAGGCAGGCTTGCCCAGGCATTGCACTGAGGGCTGCTAAGACCATTTCAGGTCTAACGATGCTGAATATCCTCGGCCTTCGTCATCATCGCCCTCGCGTTCAGGGATAGCAGAGTCGAAGGTTGCAAAACGAAGTCTTAATCCCGTCTCAGCCAATGGAGCCGCACTGCAAACCGCAGCCCAGCGAACTGTAGGCTTCCCTGGGATGCTGTGGAAGTAAGGACTACTTACAAGTCTGTTGCATCTCTCATCTGCCCCTTGTTCCATGGGATTGTGTTGGCAGACTCGCCCCTCGGGCCTCTTGGAGGTCTGTAGCATAAAATATCGAAATGTGCGCGCAGCTGCAGGCTCCAAATGGCTAGTCGAGCTTGAAATCAAGGATCTGATCTCGTGCAAGCATCCCACGTCATCCAGATGTCGCCTTCTGTACTCTCAAGCTGTATCATTGATTGGCGTCCACCAGAAATGTGTTACCAAAGACCCATCAACGGCTGCCTCTGGGTCAACCCGTAGAAGTGGACCTTGCTGAGCCTTTTGAGACGTGTCGCGGTCTGAGCTGCCTAATTGATCCCAACTGCCTTGGAAAATGTTGGAAAGGTCCCGTGTACTGCCCCGTGAGCACTGAAGACGGAGGCACTCGACGGGCTCTGATGCGGTGATGTGAGCAGAACAATTTGCACATAGGATCTGGTAGTTTATCTAAACTGGCATGCGTTAGAGCTAGTATTCTCAAAGTTCTGAGCTCAAAGGGATCCATGTAAGAACACTCTAAATCAATGGCATGATGATTTTGGCACATACCCGCACACTCAGATCAGCAAGCCATGACCTTCATGGCCAACTTCTCGATCCGGATTTTGGAGAAGGATGCTGACGCCTAGGTAGTTTCTATGATTTACTCACAGCTGAGCTGGCCAACAGCCGCCTTCGTCTTGAAAAAGTTGAAGGCGCACTCAAATGCCTCCACGGCGTGGCTCTGACTCCCCGAATGCCCCGCCCTGAACCAATATTAGGCAAGCCTAACCTATGCTTGTACCACACCCTTGCCTCTGGCGCGTTCATTATTCGCAGCTCCACACAAGTGTTCAAGCAGCCGCCCATGGGCTCCTGCAGTAGGGCGAATACTTGCTGGGGCGGCTTACATTGGCTAGCATGTTTGGCGAAATCCTGCGCTGGCGTCACATGTGCGGGAAAAGAAAGCTCAGGAAAATCCTGGACCTGCCAGATGGCCCTCCAATGGAAGCTGGGCCCACGCTGATCTGACGCGTTGCTTTCTCTGCACTCGCGCCTTCTGCACAAGTTTGCCAGGCTGGTGGCCAAAATCAAAGGGCGTATCGAATGAATGCTCCTCGCCTGCCAGACCAAACATTGCTCCAGCTTGCAACCTGGAAACACTTAAACAGCCATCCTTCGGTGAAGTTTGGGGTCCTCCAAGATAACTGTGGAACATGCTTGCGTCATCCTGGCAGGCTGGGCCATGTCCGGCTCTGTGGATGGTGGCTTAGTAGGCTCCGCACCAACTGCACCCCTCGCGGGACGTTTTCCGGCCTTCAGCTAGCAGGCATACACTATGAATGCAGTTCCAAGAAACTGAGGTGGCGACACATTGTAAAAGTCACCTGCTAGCCGCATCTCTAGCATAGACTGATCCAGCCTGGCAGGAGACGGGGCGCATTAGCGTTTCAATTGACGGTGCTGGAAAAGTCGTCTGCGCGGCAATCCCACCGAGCTTCGAGAGACGCCACCTACGCCAAGAGATGCGGTGGCTGATTGCTGACCAAGCTCCTGAGGCAGCCACCATCGAATTCGTCTAAACCATCTACGAAGCCAGCTGCCTGGGTGTTAGGCGCTGGAGTTCAGAATCTCATGGCAAACTTCGCACTTGGACAGCCCAAGAGGTTCCGAGACGCTCCGAGTCCGAGGTCCTGACCAGCGATAAGCTGCCCGGCGGGGGCGGGGCTGGCTGCTCAGACAGCCTCTTCCAACATAGTCTGACAATTCACTCAAAGGGCAAATGCAGCAAAATCTCTGAGCTCGCTGCCCTAGGTCTGTACTCCACTCCTCTTTGCCACTGGGGCAATACCTCACAGCACTTCTCTCACTCGAAATGATGGAAGCACAATGCACCCTGCGGAGGCAAGGCACATGATCTCGCTTTCTTAGCCTCTTCGGGAGACCGGTAAGGTCCTGTGTCTTGCATGAATAACACCCATCTCTACAAAAAAAGTCCTTGTGAGCTTTCCAGATGAATCCTTCCAGGGTCTTCAGGGCGACATGCCGCCACAACCTAGACATTCCCCAGTTTAGATTGCAACGAGCGAATACCTCCAGAACAGATGCTGACCTTGATGTTCACGAAAAGGAGCGAGTCCGTCAGGGTGCATTTGCTGCTGCACCCTTGAGCCCACCCGGTTTGCGGCAATGGACATCAAGAGGAAGCCCCCTACCTTGCTCCCTCAGGAGATCACACTAGGCTACATCTCAGAAAAACAATTCCTTTTGAACCATCTGTGGCGTGGACAGCTGCTACACATGGTGGCAGAGTTTCATGCCTCCCTGTGTTCCCGAGCTCTAGCTGTCGCGCAAACAACTGCAAACTGCTGGAAGCATCCCATTGCTCGACGTTGTTGCCCTCTAGCCCCTAACCATGGAGTGCAAAGACATCCAGCTCCAATCGAGACAGGTGGACTGAGACAAATGAAACAGCCACAGAGATGAGCGTTGTGGTGACCACTTCCGCCAACCCCTACTGGCCGATCTCACCCTCAGCATCTCCAATCTCATCATCCTGCACCGAGGCCGACTCACCAGGCCACAGGTTCAAATCCAAGCAATGGCCTTGGCATAAAGAATGTTCTGCACCTCCTCAACGAACTTGTTGACAGTCATGCTGGCATCAGGATTCTCTTCCCAGGCCTGGGGACACATTTGCCACTTGAAACTCAAGAGACCCAACAGCACTTGACTCTAAGTTCTGCGCCTGGCACATTATTTCAATGTCGCGGAGCTTTTGGAAATAGAAATCCCGCTCAGTTTCCAATCCATCAACCTGCAGACACATGATACCTTGAGAAAGTGCTATGATATGTGCGAAAAGAAACCGAGTGTCCGTCTGTTATCTTCAAGTCAACTACCTCTTCGCGTATGCGTTCATGCTCCTCCTGACAGACATGTCTTGGGTGCTGCGAAGCCTGCACTTAAGTAGGACCGTAAGAAATGTCACACGCCCAAGCTAGAGATCCCAAGCATTGGCTTGCTGCCACAACTGCATCTTTAGGGATGCTGAACAAGGCCCTGTAGCCTGCTTGCAATTTTTTCACGCTCTGCTGAGTGATCCGCAGACTTGCAGATTGACTCTCTCCTACACTCGCTTGGACTTGGAGTGTCAGCACGTCCGTGCTGAACGGCAGGTGGAGCACGTCCATGAACTTCGAGGCCCTGCAGGAGCTGCGTCCCTTCTTGAAAGGCGCCGGGCATCTCTGCACGCAGCCAACATGGCTCTTTTCTGACCACGCGGCGCCACAAGATCTCGAAGAGGAAAGCTGCCAAGCAAATCTGAGTCTGAGAGCTATGTCCCATTCCAAGACTTCTCTGTGAAGCCTAGTTGCTCCGCCGCCTTGCGCTCCGCATTCGACAGCTTCTTCCAAGTTTTGTTCCAAACCGGTGCAGCGCCATTGTCCCATGCGTTTTTGCTCTTGACGCCAAGTTTCGTTGCAAAGCTACGCTCCTCCTCAGTGAGATCATCCCAGCTCTTGTCACAAGCCGGATCCTTCGAGGTGTCCTTTTTGTTCCAACTGTCCGGGGTGAAGCCTAAGCCTTGGGCCGCTTGCCGCTGGAGGAAGGACAGCTGCTCCCATTGTTTTTCCCAAACTTTTGCGGTGCCCTCATCCCAGGCTGCAGCTGTTTGAATGCCGAGTCGGGCCGCGAGACGTTGCTCGCTCTCCGACAAGTCTGCCCAGGATTTCAGCGCCGCCTCTTGCTCCGCCAAGAATGCTTGCAGCTCCTGCAACGCATCCTCAACCTTGAAATTCAGCTCGAACCGTTGGGCAAGGAATTTGGCAACCTTCAGGATCTCTTCTGCATCGTAAACTGAGGCATGTGTGAGCCCCTTTATGATGACGTGCTCGACCCGGGCAGCCCGCTTGATTTTAGCCAAGTTCTGTTTGACGAGCGGAAGTGCGAATGTGTCCTGAGTTTCAACACATGAGCGTGACAAGGACAAGCTATCACAGCCACGTCAGTCACAAACGGATCACCCCGTTTCGTTCTTCTTCCAAAGATCAGGCAAAGAGAAAGGCCATTCAATGGCACGCTTGACAGGTTTGGCGCGCATATGCGCGCGTGGCTTCAAACTTTAAACCAAGGCTGGGAAACACAGATGGTCCGGCGCCACAGGGCTTCTCATGAGACTCTTTCCGTCACTTATTTCCTGACGCGGCTCATCCACGTCACCGCTTACAGCCAAGAGTGGAAGTTGCGTCTCCACTTGTTGGGAAGCTGTGAGTCCTTCCATGCAGCCACCACCCACCACACGCAAGGGTTGGAAGTCCAGCGCTGGCCTAGGACCAGGGATCGGAGCATGGCCACACCTTCCGAGGACACTGAGACTGAAAAGCTGCAAGCTAGGACCCAACCGAGCCCGCCTGCAATAGGCTGTGCAGCAGTTAGTGCAGCATCACAGGCAACACAACCGCCCTGCGATGACCCGACGAGCAAGACCTTTCCATGGGCTGCTTTTGCACTAGAAGCAGTCAGCAAACTGGCTGCAAATGAAAGACTGTCAAACGAGGCCAGAGCTCGTGGACAATCATCTTCCCACAACTCCGACAAGATCTGCGCCTGCTGATACGTTCAAGCTCACCAGGATCAAGGCAGCATGCGACAAAGGCGAACGAGAAATACAAGCAATGTAAACCCTTTCACGACGATGTCAATCTGACCTAGTGAACCTACGCTTGCTGCGCACACCACAACTCCCCGCTCACTGAAACCACACATGAAACACACCTTGACAAAAGCACCAGCCTCTTGCTGTACCAGTTGCTGAATTGCCAGGCGAATCTCCAAAAGATGCGCCACCTGAATCTCATCCTCCTATCAGGCAGGCGTGACATAACTATGCTGTTGAAACTACATTTTATCGTAACTCGCAGTCCGCTTCCACGTGCTTCAATTCACATCCTGCTTGTACTGGATAATAAAACTGACTTCCCATACACCGATCATCAGTGTACGGGAAGAAGAAAATTCAAACATAACACGGGCTCAAATGTTTCGGTCTCGAGATTGAAGGCTTAGGGCTTCTTTGGCTTAGGTTGGAGAAGGTCAAAACTGCCTGCAGTCACGCTTGGAAGAAGTGAGGCCAGGATTCGCATTCAAAGCCTAAAATCTGGGCTTGAAGGTTACTTGTTTCTTGAAATTTAAACCTTCACAATTCAAAGTATAAGCAGATAAGGTTTAAGGTTGCGGTAGGCCGTGGCTAGGTCCCAAAAATCCAAATCGTCCAGAACTCTTCGCTGTCCTCCTCCAATTCTTGGATTTCCAAGGTTTACAATATGCTTTTGTGGGTTTTCAAACTTTCCAGAAAATGTGGGCTTGTTCACATATTTCGATAAAATTAATCCAACTAGAAAAGCTTTGAAAAGCTGTTTGGGGTGCTTACAAACTTTCAGTTTGGTAGTCCCATAAATTGGTTCCAGATACCCTGGTATTGGATTGTTGCTCAAAAACATGCACAAGTTTTTTGCAAAACGAGAAAATCTAAAAAAGTGCAAATCCCAAAAAAAAAAAAAAAAAAAAAAGAAATTGCTGGAGGATGCTGTAGCATTTTGGAATTTCTGAATTTTTGAGTTTGGGGAAATGGTCACAGCCCATTTTAACATCTTATGTCCACGAGTACCGGAAATCCAGAATCCTGAATCCCTCCATATTCAGCATTCATTCCAATGGAGGTGCACAAGGAATTGGGTGAAGCCATCATTGAATTTGAGTCTGCGGCTCAAGCAGTTCCCAACACTCAGACCGGCAATTCGACGAAGTGCTCTAGACTCTAGCTGGGACTATATCCAAAACCACGCCGCAAATGCCTCACAGCTTCGACCATGTAAAAGATGCTGCACGTAATCAACCTAGGCAGATCGAGCGTCATCAATAGATCACCATCTGCGGAAGTTTGAAAAAATGGGCTGCAAAAAAGTCAGGCGCGGGGAGTCGCGCTGAACGAGGAGGACACCAGAAGACTTGCAAAACGGATCACTCAAAGAGCTCATTTTTCCTATGACAAGCTGAGATTCAAAGAGCCCACGAAGGCCTGACGAAGCTACCGCTTGGACTGATGCAACCAGAACCCTGGCGTAAACAACCCGACACCCTCCTGATGCGATTCAGCCCAACGGTTGAGGCTTCAGACAGTGCGACTTTGCATACACCGGTATCTGAGCTAACATTAGCAGGCATTTGCTGTCAAACGGGAGTCTCGCTTGCTCATTCACATGCAAGCTCCAATCTATGTCCTCCAGGTGGCCGCTGCGGTCTGTGAGGTACTCGAACCAGGCGTTCATTCCTGTCAAAGGCTGCTAACTTCTACGGAACCTCAGCCGAAGCTTCAGAGCTTAACCTGCCGAGCAACTCTCCCCCCAAACCAGTCTGCGGGGTGCATCAACCGCGACACATCGGAGACCTTCCCGGGCACGTGCCAAGCCTTCGATCGTCTTGCAGTCACTGGATGCTCCCTGCACCTGCCATGTCCACGGTTTGCCTGGAGGAGCAGTGAGCAAGGAAGGGGCCAGGAAGCAGTTGCCTCTCACGGAGCCCTGGCCTCATGGCTGCAAAGAACGGCTCCCAGTATTTCGCATCATCTCCAAGTCCATGGAAACAGAAGATCGTTCCCTGCCGCTTAGAGCAATCTGCCTAGTTGACCGCAGAAGGCTTCTGATTGAACTGATTGAACCTTGTGTTTTGCAGATGTCTCCAGGATTGTGTGGGTGCTCAGCTCAAGGGGGGTGCCGGTGCCTGGCACAAGAAATTTAAGCCAGCAGCACTTCACTTGCTGCTCATGTCCTCATACACTCTAGTCATGCCTCCTGGATCTTGGTAGCCACCAGAAGGCCTGAAGGCTTGCATGCATGCACGCATGCGTGCCTCTATCATATGCTACATGCATCAGATCAAGGGAGAACAAAAAAACACCCCTGCACCTCCCCGCATCACCCATCTCAGGGGATGATCGGCTTGCGCCCATGTGAGTTTGCACATGAGCCACTGCGAGCCAGACAGCTCCAACATCGAAACAAGCCCTAGTGGCTCCTGCCGACACTGAAGTCAAGAGCTGCACTTGCGATGAGAGGCATCATCACAGATTGATTGCAGAGGGGTTGTCCTGGAGCAAAGCCAAGTTAGGCGCTGTACTGCTGCGCTGGTAACCATCACCTCCCTGAGTCAAGAAACCATACATGCTTTCCAATGCAGGTCTGACAGGAACTTGGCAACTGGCTCCAGGGCGACCGTGTTTCGGCACCTTCGGAACTTGCATGTGCACTGCATGTGCGGCATCTTCTCAACTGAGCCAGCACAAGCCTTGGAGGCCACTGCGTTTGCGTTGCTCAACGGCCGCCGAAGTGGCTGGCTGGAGCCATCTGACGGCCTTCCCGCAGAGCTTGAAATGACAGACTTCCCAACAGTCTGCTGCCGAGGCCAAGTTGCCTCGCCCAGTCTGGCAGATTGTCGCTACGGCGCGCTGCCGCATTGTAAGTCGTGCCTGCAAATGGGCAGCATCCAAAGAAGGACCGCTGCTCAGGGGTTTGAAGGCATAGGCGCCTTGAAATGTGCGCTCAAAGTAATTCTTTATCCACTGAAGCATTTCCTTGGCGTTCAACACATATTCAGCTTATGCAATCTGTAAGCGACGCAGCCAAGCTTCCAAGTTGTCCTGGTACTTGCCGCGCACCAGTTTATCAACCTTGCAACATGAACCCTTATACTGGTGCACATCAGCTGTCCGGACTTCATCAGTTCGTTTATGGTGCAGCAGCCTCTATGTGTCGTTGAATGCCTACCTTGCTGAAGGCTTGCTGGAGTACCTGGACACCAGCCAGCGATCCAGACAAACGCATCTGCATCTTCTGCCTCTTGGCCTTGTAGTTCGGGATGCACTGATGTTCATCCCTGGCCTAAGTGTTGCAGCGAGAGAGGCAGGGAGGCCTATAAGTGGCAGCCGAGGTAACCGCCATCCAGTTGACCTTCTTCATGGGCACAGCCTTAGCTTTACAACCCGCAAACTGATTGTCCAAAGGCTTTGAGCCTCAGACACCAGAGTGGCATGCATCGATGATCTGGCAGTACACAGCGCCATTGGCACATTGCTCTACCTTGTCAAGACTCAACCTCAGGTGAGCGCACTTTGGTGGGCAACAAATGTTGAATGGGTGCACGCTTCAAACGAGCAAAGCTGTGGTACCCGCTGAAAAGTACTGTTGAGCCACGAAAGCAGCTCTGTCCTGCCAAGCGCCGATTCGAAAACGCTGCTGCAAGCTCGGGACACCACCCGTCCTGGAAACAAAGAATGCTCCATCCATCCGCCCCACGGACGACATGGCGCAGGGCTACCCGCACGGGCACAACACAGACAGTGAGTGTTTCTGTCTGTCACGCTTTACCAACACCACTGGGTGAAGCTGCAAGGTCACACGTTGAAGCCCAATGCTAGTACTCTGAACATGTTTACCGGTTTGCCCTAGATGTCCTCTGAATGGCCATGGCAAGCTGGAAGCAGGCAAAGCATTGGCAGCTGATGCTGCACGACACCATGCCACTGCACATGCCGCTGCCACACAGCAATGCCCAAGTACACAACACAAAGCACGCAAATTTACTTTGATTTCTGTCCATTGTTTGTGTTCACCGAACATGGAGCCAGTGGTTGGCTCGTTCAGGACTTCTGCGATGCCTTCCAGGACTCGTGAAGCTTTTTCTGCTTTTCAAGGTCCTGGGAGGACAGCAACACGCGCTTTACGGGTCCCTCCAGCTCTCCAGCTTCTCTGTAGTCCTTGGCCAGCTTCTTGACAGCGCTCTTCGGCAGAGCGTTGCCATCCTTGTCGTGTGTAGGCAAGCCTGCCTCGTCGTACGCCGAGAACTCGGAGCCTGAAAATGTGCATCACCAAGTCACCCGAGCCCTCAAAATTTACTGCCCACCGGCTTGCCTCTCTCCTTCCTGAAAAAGTCCTGCAGCATACATGCGTGTGACTGAAAATCAAAGGTACAAGTAGGTCAAGAGACAAGTTGACTCACTTCCACATTCTACATGGGACATCAGCTCGAACTCCTCGGGAGGAATTTTCTGCAGCCGCTCTTTTTCAGCTGCAGCAGCAGCCTGAGCATCTTTTCTGCTAGCAGTACCTCAGCTGTGGCAGCTGTACCTGCACCTGAGAACTTCCTTGTCACGTGGCTGTCTGAAGCCGCGCTACCCCGACCATCGAGTTTCTTCTTGTCGGAAGACTCCTTCAAAGGCACCACTCGGTTGAACGTTAGCTTCGGGGTGTTGCCAAAGCAATCGTAGTCAGGCGCCTCATGCAGCAAGGGTCAAAGTGAATTTCCGAAGCTTCCAGTCGCCGCCGAGCCACGAAGTAACCGCAGCGCTCAAACTGGAAGCGATCTTCCAGAGTGCAGCGGCCCAATGCTGGCTCAACTTTGGCAGCACATTGGATCCACGCTTCTGGATTCATGTACTCCACCCAATCTTTGCCCTCAGGCAGAGGGTCCGGGATGGGGAGGAAGAGCGGGTTGATCAGTCGAACCTCCGGGATCCAAGGGTAAGAACATGCCTAACATATTGGACTACCTCTCTGCATGCGCTGCTTCCCACGCCCCACCTCAGCATCCAAGCAGTCCTTGGCTGCACTTCCAATCATGCTGGCAGAGCCTAGCAGAGCACCAAAAATGTAGCATTGGAGTCAAAGCTCCTTTGCATTAACCCAGTGGATGACTTTAGGCTTCCGATCTGGCATGATGTCGCGCGTTGCAGGATCATGACCTGAGCTACTGAGAACAATTACAATTCTCAGTTCACGCCTCTGTACGACACAGCACCAGCATAGCACTGCAGGGGGCAGACTGCACTTGAGCTTCACCACCTTCCCTGCGGAATCCTTCACGACTTCTTCCAGCTTGATGACCTTGGCGACTTGAGCAAGGTCTCAAGTCCAAAACCACAGCCTTTGAGCCAGCTGCACTAGCTGAGCTAACCACGTAGCTGTATCTCAGCTTCACTTCGCTGCCAATCTTGCCAAGGCGGAAATATCCCTCGGGGGGATTCTCCTCATGCTGCACACATCCAAGCAAAGCCTGGCTTAAACTGACAAGAAATCTGCCGCTATCCCTCCTGGTAGTCAGATCGGTCTATGTAGACACGCTTGGAGAAACCTGACATTACGAAAGAACAGCGATGGCGTGGCTCCGAGATCTCAAAGATGGCACGTGAGGGCTAGAGCAACTTTTAGCCATGCAGCTGAGAGTGCGTGCACAACTGGGATCTGAAGTTGCGGACTGGTCAGGCAAATCCGTGATGCCCTCGATCAGCTCCTCCTTGTCGTAATCGATGAGCTCCTAAGATGGCGTAATTCGAAAGAAGCTACATGCCCAGTCTGCGAAGCCTAGAGGTTGTTCATGGCAAGAGACGACTTCCAGAGGGTCCAGCACAGCAAGTCTTCGTTTGCTGATGGGCTCCAAATCTTCTCTCCAGCACTCCTGTCAAAAAAAGGATGCTCAGAAAGAATGCAACCTACCTTCATGAACTGACAAAGCAAATCAGATGCCCAAGTTGCTTGCATCAATCACATTGGAGCAATCTTGACAACTAGTCCAGATATCCTCTTGAGGCGTCTAATTGCATGCAGCTTTGTTGCTTAAAAAGCACCCAACTCACCCATCAGAGAGGCCTCCACCAAATCCCAGGGTGTCACACTGTTCCGGTCACTGACACCTACCTGAGTGCTCCAGTCTGACTCTGCACAATCTAATTACTCAGTATACTTGTTACATGCGGGTTTCCTCTTGCACTGGCCCTGGTGCCACAACCTCTCAAATTTCTTGCGCTCAGCATTCACGTTTGGGTTCCGATACGAGAGCTCCTGTTTTAGAAGCCTTGTGCTGTATCGTAGATGTGTTTAGAAGTTCTTGAGAACAGCAAAAAGAAGTAAGTGTACAAACGTGAAGGTATCGTAGCAAGTACAATATGAGCAGTGATGAACGCCATTATTTGGAGTCTCTTGCTAGGCAAACTTCAGAGCTATACATGTTGTGTCGCACTGTGCTTTGCCTTGTCACTCGTTCGAAATCCACACTGAACGTATGGAAATGTATTGTACACAGATACTAAAGGTCTTGGCTAGTTGCCCCGCCGCCGTCCCTTTCAGATTTGCGTTTGGTTGCTGGCAAAACATTTTACAGCAAGCCCAGAGTGAACCAGCTCTCATGTCAAGTTGAAAGTGCATCTTCCCTTCAATAAAGCAGGTCTGCGGTCATGCAAATATATATATATATATACATGTTTATGTATATAGCGTGTACCTAGAACCTCGCATCTTAAGACAAAAGAATGCCTGTCGGATATGATTCCCAGGCTACAACTGGGCCTACTGGGCCACAGCACAAAGAGCGGGCTTCAGGTTTGAGACAGTTTGGTCTGGTTTACTTTTAAGCTGTGAGGGTTTGGGAATCGAGTGTGACAGAGTTCTTGGTTTGGGCGTGAGGTTTTGATTTCGAGCTGCTGAGAACAAGTGCTGCGCAGTGAGGGAGGCTCCTATGGTGCCGCAAATCCTTTTGTGTTCCCAGGATCTCAAGGATACGTCAGCTACTGAGGCATGTCTACAGGAGTCACAATAATTAGCAGAAAAGCTGGAATGTTCCTTGCCTTTATAGTTGTACTATATTCCAAATAGCGGCGAAAGCATTCTTCTAGGCCTGAACTTTCCACACATTCTTTGGTTCGACATTTCGATAAAGGACTCCTCCAGGCAGACCCCCCAAGTAATCACGGAGTTATCCGCCCGGACAGCGGCAAAGGCGAGCTCGTTGGCTTGGATCTGAGTCAAGCAGCTCAGCGCAGCATCGTCGACCGAAATCTGCAAGTCTTCCTCCACGGGGCTGACTCCTCGGCCCCCGGGACCAGCCTGCTTCGAGCAAAGTAGGCGGAACGCTCACCTGAGGCAGGGCAAGGAGAAACCCTCCGGGGCGACGAAGGACAGGAATGCAAAGCACGCGTGCAGTAAGATCTCGAGGAGTGCCGGCGACCGGCGGGACCGCCACGTAAGGAGTCGGCGGCCCTCCTGAAACACATATGAGCTCCTCGGGGCTGATGGCTGCGTAGCTGGGAAGGGGCGGCCTGCCCCTGCACAATATGCTCTGGCTTCTCCCTCTGTCGGGAATGCGTGGCACACACACTCAGAAACCAACTGACCCACGGCGGCCCTAAAGGCAGAGTAAGTGAAGTAGCCAGCTGAGCGCCTTAGGAATGCCGAAGGACAACGTACACCCGGCTACGGATTGCAAGGTCGGGGGTGCGATCCACACAGGAGGCCGACCCACGAAGAACGTTTGCGGCTGACCTACCGCCATTCCAGGCTCTAAGGGCCCTGGTGGCACGGGACGCCTTTGGCAAGGAAGAGCACAGGACCTCGAGAGGAGTGTCCGACACGAGTGCAGGAGGACTTGGCCTAAACCTATATAAGGCTCAGGAACCCAGGGGCGGCGCTAGAGGACCCAGGGGTGGCAGCTTGCTGTGTGCCCGACGCGGGCGAGGAAGCGGAGGCTCCCACCGCAAACTCCCAGCCGTCGCGGGCCAGGGAAGGCACAGCCTGGACCAAAGCCTTGGTGGCCACGTGCAGTTGTTCGAGCGCTTCTGCAAGCGCTCCCCGTCCAAGTTTCCAGAGGGCCTGCTATCACTCATTCAGGTACCCCTGCAGGCGCGAGCCTCGGGAATGCAGGGCAGAAGCCCGGTCAGAACGAGCCGGGCGACTGTCAGGCACGGGGTTAGGGACGGGTGCAGGATAGGGATGTAGCACAGCCGGAGAGGGCCCGGAAGCCACAAGGCGGAAATAGAGGGCCAGCAGAACAAGGCTCGCAGCCAAAGCACCTAAGGAGGCCCTGGCAAGGAGGAGGATCAAGTATGTAGTGAGGGAGCCCGAGCAATGGGCAGGACACGAAAGACCCCACCACCCTGAACTTGATCCCTGTACCAAGAGCTTTGAGGCGACCACTCAAAAATGTCTTGAGCAAATGCCCAGCAACACAAGCTCGTCCTTAAGTAGGCAAACTATCTAAACCCTTGGGGTTGAGGTAGTTTAGATAGTTTGGATAGTTTAGATATTTTAGATAGTTTAGATAGTTTGGAGCCTCCCGCTGGAGCCCCAAACTATCTAAACCATCTAAACCACCCTGTGATATGTCTCCTCTATATACAACCAAACAAAATCATCACATTGTACGCAAAGGTTCGTCGTACATATTAATGTGCCGGGCCGGTGGCGTAAGGCTACTCAGACAATGCTGGTCAGGATGCGGATGCTGCTTCTGATGATATTACTGAATAAAGGACATGAGGATGAGCTGGAGCAAGCCCCCACCAAAAGCCTCGGGTACAGTGCATCGTTGAGATCAACCCCGCCGAATTCAGCCTAGCAGAGCAAAGTGGAACCAAAACTATGCCAAATTTCGTGATCAGTGTGGCCATGATTCCAAAAACCATTGGTAAAATGTCGCGAGAGTTTTCAGTCCATAAACACCCTGTCTGAGTATTTTTGCAGAGTCTCCTTTTAGACTGCGATTTCAATCAATGGAGGTTTTGCGCAATTGGATTTGCAACCTCAGCAGCACAGCGTCGCCTGCATACAAACACATACAGGCTTGCCATGGCTTGCCGGCAAAACAGTTGTCTTGGAAGTATTCCCCGATCCAAGTCTTCAACTTCTGTCGTAGGCAATGATACAGAAATTGACGACAAACTGGGCCTTTCTAACCCACGAACCTTTTCTGTTGGGGTCCAAAGCTGATGATATTCGCGGGAGGGCTCATTCTGAGATCCCAAATACAGCCCAAATCAATTGCTGCAGCAGGGCTGAATTCAACAAAGATGGTTGAGCCTGACGTGCACGCCAAGGACTGCTGAACCATCCATCTTTCGGCAAGATGCTGTATCGCACATTCGCTTAAGTCCCTGAGGTCGGACACCACGTCTGCGGATGCCACGAACGGTAACAAGTCTGGGGTCATCCCATCCAGTCACGTATCCTTCCTTGGGCTTCAACAAAATAACGGCAGCAAGCAGGGGCTGCACGCGGACAAGCTGTGGACATCCACCAAGTGCTGTGTCATGGCTGCAAACCAGCTTCCCGCACTAATCTCAGGAGTTTGCGCTTGGATGTGAAGGCTCCCTGCACTTCCAGTCTGGCAAATTCCTTCTGGTAGGGTCTGCTAGGGATAATGGAAGTATTGTCCTGAGCAATCACAGGCGCTCGAGCATGTACTCGCAAGCAGTAACGTCAAAGTCCGACACTTCAGACAAGCATCGAGAAACCAGTCGTACAGAGCGCGGTGATTCTCGAATTCCAAGGTGCAAATGGAATGCGTAACACCTTCAATGGCATCCTCATTCCCATGAGCAAAATCATAGATGGGATACACCTCCAGCAGTTGAAGCATTCCGAAAGAAGGAAAGAGGCTTACGCTCACCGGCCTTCCAACGATCACCTGTCCGGTGGTGGCTACTGAACCGAATCCTGTACCTTGGGCCCATGACGTCGGAAAGTCTGACCGGCCGCAGAAGCATTTAGTGAAGTCAAGATGCATGGGCGGGTCCCGCATGTTCATATTGGGATGGTTCATATCAATCTTTGCCCGAAGCAGGAGTGAACCTTCAGGATGCTTTCCTGCCTGCATCTCCTCGAAAAGTTTCAAATTCTCCTCCGCGCTTCTCTTGCGAAAAGGGGAATCAACCTGACAGAGACTCTGCCTTCAGCCAGTCAGCCAGAATGCTTTCAGGCTAGTGCGGCTAGTGGCTCCAGGAAGATTGTTCGGACCACCGCCACGGTTCTTTTGCACCTGAGCGGGAGCCAACTCGCGGCTTTGTCTGACAGGTTGTCACGACTGTGCTGGGACCTCTTCAGGAGTCTGCGAATCCACATATGCCTTGCCCTGCTTGATCAAGTCAATCGCAAAGTCGTACATCTGCTGAAAGTAGTCACCTCAGCACAGCATGGCATAGCATGGCACGGACCTTGGAAGCAGCTGAAAGCGAGGTAGAGAGGTGATCAGTGATGCTTATCCAAATTCCAAGGTCTGGGCTGGCATAGAGCGGCTCTCCCACCCACGGCTTGCCGCCATTTTTGCATTTCTCCATGTCTAAGCCCTGCCAACATAGTCATGTCAAACAGAATGTGTGGCAATGTGAAGGCAGTTGCTCCTGACATACCCAGCAGACATCCTCTTGAATGGACTCCACATATTCCGTCTCTTCTGTGTCAGGGTTGGTGTCATCAAATCTCAGGTTGCAGCCGCCGCCATATCTCAGTTCAGGTACCGAGGAAACAGCGGAAACGGCAGCCGGCATCTCCATGTCACTCTTACACAGGCCAGCGTGCAACATGTTGTATCATTGATGGAAAAAAATCAAGGACATGTCTTCACATAGAGGCCTCTCAAAGGCTTTTTGTGATGTGGTTCTAGCTTGCAAACATGGGCTAATTGTTTCAGGCAATGTACAGCCACGCTGCTTCACTCCCTGACCTACTGCCCGGGGCATGTGGGGCTGGCACTGCTGAGCTATTAATAAACAGCATGCTACCCAATTTGGCCTTTGCGAGCTCAATTCACGCAGGGACAGTGTTGCTTGATGAGCACATTGCAAGCGAGATGCTTCTGAGCGAGGCCAAAATTGACTGTAATCGACTTTGCGTGGCCAATGTGCAGATAGCCATTTGGCTCAGGAGGGAATCGCGTCAAGACCTGAGGGATTGATAAGACAACTCTCACGTATATTCAAGCACGAAAGCGGCTGCACCAAACCACCTCGTGCCTTCTGGCCGTGGCATCTCCCACCCTTTGCCAACTCTGTATCAATCCTTACCCGGAAGCAAGTCACAGATTTTTTAAGTCTGCACTTTCTGCGGCAAGGCACCACTTCTCCAGGAAGCTTCTGCCATCTGAAGCGTCCTGCAGAGAGACATGAACTGTTTGTCAACCTCTATGGTGAAGGACTTCAGAAGGCTCGGCCTCTTCTGCAGTAGCTGGAGCAGGTGCCTCCATTAGCGCTTCACTGCTCACCATCAAGGACCCTGACTTTCTAGAGACATGGGCTCCGTCCTACCATGCTACAACCCATACGTCACGGCACGCCTGGGCTGCCTCAGGCTTGGACTTCACGTCCTGCCTTGGCTTGGCTTCCTGCTTGGCCTTGGCCTTGGGAGCCTCGTCAGCGTAACATTGGCTGCAGCTGCTTCGAGCGACGGGAGCACAGCAACCTGTGGCACGGCGCTCAGGTTCCCCTGACCCTCTTCAGGACAGCGAAGGAGCGTCGGCGAGCCTCGCAAGGCGAGGGGGGGGGGGAAGAAAAAACAACTTGTTTGCATGTGTGTGTGTGTGTACATATCTTTGGTTCTACTTGAAATGTAAGTGGGCTGGGCTCCTCCAAAGGGCAGCCCAAGGCCAGATAAGTACCCAGCGTTCATGGCGATTGGAAAATGAAAACCACTTGCCAGGCACTTTTCTAAAGTTTTTCCAAGGCCTATCCAGGGTTCATGGTGCTGATGTATTTGGGGTGTCTTCTCACAGCTTGACACTTGAAGGCTGGGAATAGCTTTCGTGAATTTGGACCGGTTCAATACATTGTTTCCTGTGGCATGCCTTGCCATGCTGCGTGAACAACCTAGTTCATTGTGTCCTGAAGGCTGTCTCAGTTGGTGACAGGAGGCCCGTTCTGACACGTTCTCTCTGCCCTGGGCATACCTTCCAGCAAGATCGCTGTCATTTTCCACAGCTACCGCTTTGAAAATACACATGGGCATGCCGAGTCAAGGCTTAGCCTTTCCTCTCAGAGAGACCCACACTCAACTGCCCTGTAGTTGCTTTCGAATCTTTCGAGCACTGCAAGGGGCGTTCCTACGGAAAGTGGCCCAGCAGTTGTTCTACGAGTCCTTTCTGATCTGATGCACGGCATGAGATCAGACAGGAGGAGTGCCAGAGCAACGTTCAACAGCATCATAGCACATATTGAACGGGTCGTTACGGGGGGTTGGCGCAGCCTTCATTCTGATATATGCGTCCGTAAGCACGCGGGTTCCAGGCCATTATCGTGTGAAAACGACTATCTTGCAACGTACCTGGCTTCGCCTCGTTCAGCCAAGGGAGACCTGCAGCTGAGACCAAACACAAAGAGGTGAGCAGAACCCAAACAGTCTGGGTTTGAAGATCCCACCTGCTCTTTGACTAATTTGAACAGTTCCTTGACTTCCTTGGCTCAACAAATCAAGAAGTAGCCACAGCCCGCATCTCGACTTGCAGCAGGCACAATCTGCGACACAGCGTCTCTCCTCATCTTGAATAAGTCGATACTTCGGGCAGGACCATGGAATTGTCTGATACCCATGGCAAACTCATCCTCGTCAAGCACAACTCAATTGAGCAACTTCCACACTGAAACCCTCCATGGTCACTGCATGTTCACACGTGCTAGGACGTCCTGGTCGATGCACCCATTTTCATCCATGTCGAAGAGGTCCCAGAGCTCGTCGGTGTTCGTGGTTTCCGTGTTAATGCCCAAGTGTGAGAAACACGTTGCAATTCTGTCGCTGTTTGTGAGATGGTACACGAACTGCTCCTTCGTCAGCTGACCAGCATGTGCTTCGCTGATTCGGGAAAACAGATCCTTGTCTGGAGCTGTGCTGTGAACGAAATAAGCGAGCTGCATTCGGCACGGACGGAGGCTGTCTCAAAACTATGGATACATCAACCAATTCAATCCAGGTCGCGGCTACTTCGACAATCCACTTCTGGCGCTCCTGGCGTCATTCGTTATGTTAAGACGGTTCTATTGCATATGTTTCGTTGGCAGACGGAACAAGCCTAATGGGATCAGACATCGGCATGCATGGTTTATAGCTTGCTCAGGCGGGGATGGAATGCTAAGAGTACTAGACCCAGAAGGCATGATATCTACTCTGATTCTCCTTCATCGCTTCATGATGCATGGCTTCTTCATCTGCCACTTTCAAAGCCTTGGCATTGTCCACCTCGGCAAGTCACCACATCTTACGAATTCTGTCTTTGAGACCGAGCAGCTTGGAGGCGCTTTTTGGGCCCCGCACGAAGATGCCCGTAACGATGTTCATGCAGCAGAAGACCTTGGCAGGCTAAGGAGGCAGTGACCTTCTGGCTTGCCTTTTGAATTTGTCGCAATTGATGGCCGAAATGCTGTGAAGAAAACATACGCGGAGAAGATGTACTCCATCCACATGCTGACAGGACGAAGTGTGACCACAGCATTATTCCAATCTATGCCGCCAGAAACTGCTTCATACCTCAATTATTCCACATATGCATGGAGGACATGAGAATCTCGTCTGCAAATGCATGGCTGTGCAATGTCGTGCGGATAAGCAGCAGGGTCAGCATGGTGCGTGGAAGCGTGCCGAAGTATGCCAGAAGTTCTGCATTCGGATTGACTGTTTCCAAATATTCCACAGAGAGCTGCATGACAAGCACCCCAAATAAAAAGTTCACGAGCACAAGCAGGAGGAGAGCCCAAATCAGCGACTTCGCTGAGCCGATCACCCCGTTCACCATCACCCTCAGCTCTGAAAAGAAGCGCACCACCTTCACGATCCGCAAGATCCGCGCAAGACGGACCATCCGAAGAATCTTAAGGCCTGGCAGGCTGTTGTCTGGCAGTGCTGGATTCGCGGGGCATGCACTTGGAAGATGCAACTTCCGTTGTAAGACAGATTTAAGCTATGCCATGGTTCGGGGTCCTGCTGATGCGAGACTGAAGTTGAGGGAGCTCCTCTATCCCTACCCTGCCAGTCCATGTTCAGTTGAAATAAGGCGAAAGAGGTCATCGGCTTGGCTCAGCTTAGCTCTGCCTTAGCTGGAAATTTGACGGTTTGGGGACGCGACTGACGGGAGGACTGATGAAGCTAGTCTTCAGTCTGTCACTGAAGCATCCAAATCAGAACGCTTGGACGCGAACGGGCCCGCACCCTAGACAAGCCCTTGCACCGTGTCAGAATCGGCCGTCCGGGCACTTCGGTGCTTCAAACGTCAAGTAAAGCATGGTCCAAATCCGCAGGCTCGTACAAGCTGAGTCCAACGGGGCGACTGCCACCCAAGACAAGTCAAACACAGCATGTGATAAGGGTGAACTGAATGTTCTGTCGGGGTGACGCATGTGGCGTGATGCTAAGCAAACTTTCTACAAACCTCTTCATGTGCCACTTGCGGGACCGCCCATCGCACCAACAGCAGCACCAGGTTTGAAGCTGCATGTTGCCAGTTGCCCAAAGGCTCAAAAGCTTACCAGCTTCCTGTGCTGCGGGAGCTGTGAAAAAGAGTCACTTACTTTCACGAGAACCCATGTCGCTGGCACTTCCCGCCATACCATACCCATTGCATTCGTGCCAAATACCCATACATTGGAACAAAGGATATGTGCAACAAGGCTTCCAAACTTTCATGCTGCACCTGCCTGACAAGTTTGTGCTGGCAGTGACCAGCACTAGGAACAGGATTTCCTCAACCAAGCCACCTCAGTAACGCAATGTCAGGCTGCAAATATCTACAGATCAAAGCCACTACCAAAAAGAAGTGTGAGAGACTGGCAGTCAGGAAGCTGGCAACGAGAAGCGAATCCATCAAATTCCAGTGGATGGAGGGGTTCTTGTAGGACAGGAAATACATGCCATCCACTATGGCTCGCAGTAGCAACTCAATGCTGAACGCTATATTGAAAAGAGAGTTCAGCACTCGGAAGGACAACGGCTCGGAGGCTCCAATGTTTCCCACGGTCCAATGAGCTTCCACACCAATCATCACCGCACAGACCAGAATCAGGATGGCGCAACACCACTCAAACTTTGGGTGCGTGACCTCAGCGAAACTCACAAAACGCACTTAGCGAAAACGCCATGGGGCTACGTGTGTGCAAGCGAGAAGCTACCATCCTTGCAAAACGCTGGCATCTCTTTCCTGTTGCTGCATCAAGCTGCTGACTTTTTTTCTCCTCAGTATCGACATTCATATTCCATTGAAACTGCTTGGCAGATAGCACCACAGGGCAAGCCTGAATCAGCATCCATTGGCCAAGAATCTAGATAGGATTTGACGCCTCTGACTTTATTCCTTTCCAGCTTGAACGTCACGGCCTGCCACTCAATACCAGAATGAGGGATAAGTTACTTACTTCAATTTGTGGCAAGCTAATCCCGGGCATTGGCCTCTTCTTCATTGCCTGACCACACAACAAATTGTTGAACAAAGTGCTCCAGACAATCTTATCGTCGCCTCCCCAAGCTTCGAGCTTAGAGCCCCCGCGTGATGGAGAAAAGCTGCCTGAGCTCAAAAGGGCATCCAGCCAAGACCATCCACAAGAGGCTTTACCAAACGCACGCTCAATCCCCCATAAATCCATAAGACAACCATATGATCACACCGGAAGGCTTGTTGAGCGAGACATAGCCAGCTCCTTGTTCAGATCTTCGTCATTCATGCCGGGTGGCTTTACAGACGCAGCCTGCCCCAAAGCTTACAGCAAGAAATTGCCCTCTGGTCCAGCCTTTTCCAGCTTCGGACCCTTGTTTGTTCGATTGCAGTTGTGCATCTCTGCTTCTGCAAGGTCCCTGCCATTCCCTGCCTGTGGGAGGCTGGGGAAGTCCACACCGCCAGATAGCCGTAGCGAGCTGCGTTGAGACGTGTGCAGGGAGCTGCGCTTCCTGTGCAGCCTCAGAATCCGTGGACGTCAGCCTCTGTTCTTACGTTGCATTTGGCACCTGCAATCCACAGCATGTGTGATTTGCTAAAACCTCTGGAAATTGCCAGATGTTGAGGCCATCACGGCCATTGAGTCTTTAGAAGCTCCTCTCTGACTGCCTATTCATCCCGTCGCTCTCTGCAGAAGGTATGAAGCATTTGTTCGTCCCGCCTGCGATGTGAGTTGCGGGATCTTGGCAAGCATCTCGCCGATGATTGCTTCCATTTTTTCCTGATGGTTCACCAAATCCTGAGAAATGTCTCTGTCAGAGATCAGCACGTATTTTTGGACGGCTCAGATTCACCTCACCATCACCTTCGGCCCAGCAACTGCCTTTAACTGGAATGCCGGCAGCGCTGCCGGAGATGGCGGATGGAACTCCTTGGCAAGCTGATATATATAGAGTGACGCATCGAGGGAAGATCTCACAGTGAGGGTGACCGATTCACTGATTTCGAATCCAGGGTTCCCATTCGGTGCCCTTGCCTTCGCCCAGTCGCCTTCTGCCTGGCGACCCGGGTCGCACCGCAGAAGATGGGCGGGGTGCTGGCATGGAAGGCGCAGGAGCCGCCTATGGAGATGGCTATGGAAGCCCATCATCAATCGCTTGGGCCAAAGGTCAGAAACAACAGTGTTGCAAGCCTGTCCTCACGGCACTGCTGTCTGAACAGGTAACACGTGAGCAAACAGCACGCAAAGCGCCCCTTTACCGCAGCACGTGGAAAGTGTCAAGTCCTGTCAGCCTGACCAAGCTCAAGAGGTGTCGAACAACACCCAAAACATGACTCCAATGGCAAGGCCTCTGGGAAGAGAGCAGCGAGCCCTTTCTCAGAAGCTTCTGCCAGCCCCCGCTCCTGCAGCGCTCTGGGGCTTCTCGGAGGACGTTGCGCAAGATCAGCAAATGGCAGAAGCTCCGTCAGCAGTCCCGTAACCAGGCGGGATGGTGTCACATCAAACCTGGCACAAGGGCAAGCAGTTTGAAGCTGATTTAAAAGAACATCTCCCCCATCGTGACGCTCAAGCAAACCGGGCTGCGCTTTTTTAGTAGTTGAAGCAACCCTTGCTAAGGGAGACTGCAGGGGGGCGATGTTTTGTGGAATGTATCACATTTGTGTGTGCCATTGAGTAAAACCGCAGATGCTTTTTTTCGGAGGATGCTGGCGTGTGCCCCAGAGCAGTGACAGCAGTAGCACCAAGTAATGCAGGCGACTTGATAATCTGAAGCAACTTGACAGGCTTTGTTTCATCACACAGCCTGCTCCTTTCAGGCATTCAAAAGGTTGTCATTGTCTTAGAGATCTCCGATAAAAGGCAGGGAAGTATTATGCTTATTAGCCCTACACGATATGTCGGCCCTGGTAGCACGTCATGGCCAAGCGTGCCATGACAACGCCCAGTTGCCAGCAGCACTGCTCTGCGGAGTCAGAAGAACCTGATCAGGAGCGGTAGAGCCTGCTCGCCATGCGAACAGGCATTTCAGGTAAGACGAGCGCTTTGCGGCGCTTGCCGTCTTCGCACAAGCCCTGGCCACCGCCAGCTTCGGCTGTGTCTTCAAGTCACTTGAAGCCAGGCGAATTTTGATCAGTGAAGGGAACCTCCGCGTACTTTACTTCATCATCGCCACGTTGTTCAATTGGAATGTCGGCCTGAGTACTCTGGCTACTAATCTAGCAAGGCTGCAGAGGCAGGAGCGGCAGAGGTACAAAAAATCTTCTGGGCCGCAAGCACCATCTTTGAGACGCCAGTCAATGGTGCTGGACGGAAGTGCAACATAAAACCTCCATTGTAACGGGCAATCTTGCCATGCCCGGTCCTGTCTGTGCAAGCCGACCAGTCACTGAGCTGTCTGCGGTAGATTGTTGTCCCTAGCTGCCAGAGCCTGCTGTGATCTGTTGATTGAGGCACCTCTTTCTTTGCTCCGGCGTACTGCTTGCAGAAAAGATGACTACTCAAGACTGGAAATAACATGTGGCCCAGAGCGCGGGCCTTCAAGTAGGTGCCGATTTTGTTACAGGCGTCACCGCAGCTGGAAACTGTCATGCAGAGCAAGGAGCCAAATGGAATACATGCAAAGGCGTGCAACACCTCGATCTGCTCCAGTGATAACCACATCAACCAAGCCAGTCCTCAAACTCCGCAAGTTGCCAAGCCGCAAGACACTGCAGCCCACAGCAACAGTCCTCATGAGATGACCACCTGTGTTATCTGCAATGACCGTGTGCGCAACTCCATGCTTGCCCTGCAGCTCGAGACAGCTTATGGACGTGAACCTCGAAAGCTGAGGGCCAAGCTAGTTCCCAGGCAGTTAAGGAGGCTCCCTGGTTCCGAGGTCGGGTCTCATCAACCTGTGCCACAAACCGCACCCCAATCTGCAATCCGGACTGTTATTTGCTTCCACCCAACTTGGACAGATGCCCACACGTGGAGAGGAAGTCCTTTGTCGAAAGCTGCATACACCTCACATCACTTGACACTTACTTGCGTCCTGCCGGGCTAGACGGGTAGACTGCATCTAGCAACAGCATCTGGATGAGGGCTTGGCCGGAGATAACGCAGAACCTGTGGAAGTAAAAGCTCTGTCGTCTGGAAGTTTCGGCTCCAACACCGATTCAGATACTGCCACTGGTGCCAAACCCGGACTACCCTTGCCCAGGTCAAGACGCTCCCGTCTACTGCACTGTCAAGTAACCCCAGTCCGCAAACGCCAACCAGCCAGCATTGCAGTGCGTAAGCACCTGAGAGGAGTCTCCCCAAGAAACAACAACAAGCAGAGCTAAATGGCCCTCTTGACAGCTACCTGCTGCAAAACAAGTGATTGCTGCACACTTGAGCAAGTCTCACAAAACACACGCATACGATTTCAAAGCAGTGAGATGCGGTAAGCAAGAACCAGGTCCCTGGCATTGATCTTAAGCGTTGCCTCTGCTGCACTTGCAGATGACCTCTTCCTGCTCGCTCCAGCACGCATGCGACCGACATGCGCAATGGCATGCTGAAATCAGCACAGCCAAACAACCTCTCATAGAGCTGCTGAAGGATCTCAGCACCCGCTTCACCGATGCGGCGGCAAAATTCTGCATCCTATCCAGGTGTTTCGATGTGTTGCTTGAACTTGAAGAGCCCAAAAAAACAGTGTGATTTCAATCAAAGCCTCATCTGTGATTCGGACAGCTTCTTGGCGAGCAGCCTCTTCCGCAGCCTCAAGAAAGCACTCACTGGTCTCAGTTTCTCTGAAGCAGCTAACATTGCTGGCCTGTTGACCACCATCACCCTCGCTCTGTCCCAGTGCCTTTGCCGCGGGTGAGAATCCGCCTGCTGTAACTCTACAAAGCGTACAGTTCAAAGGTCGCATCTCCTCAAGGGGCCGGCAGTCTCGACGGCTTGCAGGATTTTTTCAACGCCTCAGTATGCTGTCATAGCAAGCCACAATACATGTCTCGGCTGGCCAAACAAAATGTCTCAGCTCTTTCACAACTGGCTAAACAGTTACAAAGGGCAAGGCCAACACGAAGATTTACGGCGGTTGGACGCGTCGCCCGTAGCTGCTGCGAAGCATGCTCCAGACATTCGCGGACCTTCCAGGCGAAACAATCTTTAGCCGGCGAACATCGGCGAACTCGTGGCCTGTCCAGGCCTGCTGCATGTTGCTGGTCGGGCTTAAGTTGCGAAGGCTCAGGTACATCCCATATGCAGCAGCACATCCTTACACGGCGTGCGATGACAAGCCACTTGCAGACAGACAGAAAGAAAACTACGGTTGCTGGCCTATGAGGCCAGCACCTCGCACGTGCATGTCCTACAGGCACTATCTGAAACAAACAGATGGGTATGCTCAGAAATGTCCCTGGCAAAGTCCTTAATGACCACGCACATCTCATCCAAACATCGAACATCCTGACGTTCAAAAGCATTCGGACCATCGGCTATGGTACAACACCTGGCTCTAACTGCACTTGTGCCCTAGCAACCGAGAACCAGGGGTACTTGCTTGGTGCGAGCGAAGTTCACATGCCGGAAAACACAGGCCAAGATCACAGCACTTGCAACCTTACAGCATCTTCCTGGTTTCTTGCACATCATGGTGCACTCAAAACTTGTCAGGTCGGGATACAGAGTGTTGTGTGGCAACACCCATGTACACATTTTTGTAGGCATGGGCCAAGGCTGCAGGTGTTGAGGTTCTTGAGTTTGGTCCCGGGTGTTTAATGACCATCGCTACTACACTCATTTGTAGAAATGGTATGTCTGCCAAGTCTTCCAAGTAGTTCCTGCATGTCGGGTAAGTCTCACACTGACATGGCTCACTGCTACTCTTAAACTATGTAGCACAGCACAAACAAAATGCAGGCTCTTGTCAAATCAGCTCCACCTCGACCACAAAGTCATGCGGCAAATGTCTCTGGTCAATGATTTGCACCTCGCCCGAAAGGAAGGCGTCAGGGAATCCGGGGGCTTTGCTTGTGAAGTTGATGAGCTGCCAGCCGTGTTGGGATCCTGTAGCCAAATGGTCCTGTACCTGGCAAAAAGGAGTGACTTGGAAGTCATTGATCCCTGTCGGCCAGCAGAGGTCCAGGCCAAGTCCCATCAACCCGCATTTCCTGGACATTATGCCAAAAGCAGCTGGGAAGTGGAAGCATGTTGCATCACGGCATGGCGGATCCTCTCACTCGCGTCAAGCTTGGTGAAAGTTCAGCATTCAGCCAATGGCCGACGGGCTTCTGCCCCAAACACCTCAGCATCAAGTAGAGAGCCCTCAAATCAACAAGCTGACTAGAACAGACCACTTGCATGAACGTATCGTACAGTACAAGCTTAGCTCTGCACGTGTAGCCAGTCACTACGGCAGCCGCTACAAAGTTTGCTTGGGCCCACCCCCTCCCAGACACGACAGCTCCTTTCTACCAACATCCCTTACAACGGTTGTGAGAAACAGTAATAGCCCTGCGTAGATCCCATCAAAAAAAGTGTGTTGCAGATGCACATCTCCGCACCATCGCTGTTTTGATCATCCTTCATACAACAACAGGGACGGTTTGTCTCAGGGACAGCGACCTTCTCAAATGCAGGCGCAATGCCGTCAAAAGATCTGGCCCATGGTCACAAACATTGTTTACTTCCTCAGCTTCGTGTTTGCTGTCCAAATCAAAGGAACAGGAACACCTCCACTAATGAAAGTCCGAGCATATTTGGTTTAGTCCCAGGGGCAAATAGGCTGATGTGCCTGAAAGTGTCATTGTGAATCTTGTCCACCATCAGGGCATTGAGTTGGCTACGCTCCTCGTCCTTCAGCAGATGGCACAGATAGCGCCTAGCCTCTTGTCCTTCAGTGAAGTGCTGCTTGAGCAGAACTTGAAAATTTCATTTTCTCATAAGTTGATTCTATTTTTAAGTGCACGAATGTCAGATTTTGTCCTTGCACTACCTCCCTGGCTTCCCCCGTGCATTCTGCAAGCTTCAGCATGAGAAGTGTTACCGGTGCACAGGTTCTATGCCAGAACGGCCAGACACAGGATCATTGACATGAAGTCCTCCAGGAGAGAACTGAAATGGGCTACACCGATCCTTAGACTGATGCGACTGGAACAAGCTAGTTCTCCATAGCAGTGCATGTGCATGAACCTGGTACAGGAAGGCCTTCGCCGTTGAGTCATGGTTCACCACCGACTGAGGAGTTTCTTGCCATAATGCTTGAAGTTCTGTGAATCGGTCGGGGGCCAGTGGGGATGCCGACACCTGCATCAAGAAGTTCAGGAGTCGAAGGAGGGCAAAGTCGCGACCAGAATCCCCGATCCAGCAATGATAATATCCCAACGAAGCGTTGTCTTGCAGCTGCAACTGCTGAAGCCTTTTGCCGCAAACAACCTGTTCATCGACGGTAGCACTATCCAGATTCAGACATTCGCTTGGCCAAGTTTCTGGAAACATCTCAGAAGCCAACGATTTGTCAAATCCAGAGCAAGCCAAGCTTGCATTGTACTGTTGCGAGACACAATCGGTCACTACAAGAACATGGCCACCACGAGCTAGTTTGGACGTTGATGCTGCTTCGCCAAGCGTACGCTTCAAGTAGCTGCAGTTCGCAACTGGCGACAAGCTATGTTTCCGCAGCAAGTCCTCCATTTTGCTGTTGCAATTTGTGCCTGTGCAGTCCCACATGTATATCAGAACAAGGTCTTCCAATGTTGGATGCTGTTCTGCCCATTCCAGGATCTCTAGTAAAGCAGCTTCTGCATCCTGTCTGATTTCAATGTCTCCGTGGTGAAAAACAAGCTCTCCTTTCTGGTTGACATGCGGTCGCATGTCGAAGGCGCGTGCTCCGCAATCAAGCTGGGCAGTGAAAGCTCGGGCAGAGGCAGATTGCGTTTGACTCCAAGCAACCGTAGGATCTAACATGTGCTGCAAATACCCTGTCGCAGCATCATGCGTCATCAACATCGGCCAGCTGGTTAAGGGCACATCCGCAAACAGTGGGTTTCTCATGGAGTCTGAAATGTTTTGGCATGTGCCAGGAGGGAACAACGACGGATGGTGGCACATTGACCCCAAGGATGCTTCGTACCGTCCATCACAGCACAACTCTGGGACACCTTCAAGCGCACAAGACGAAAAACTGGCTGGCAAACCATGACCGGTACAATCGCGCAGCTGGCTGGCGGAGCTTCTCAGCATCATCAAATGCAAGCACAACAATCTCATCACGGCCAAGACCTGACCTGACCAAAAAGGACAAATTCATCTTGAGCCCAAACTGGCTAGTTTCGAGCTGATTTGGGTTTAGGATTTGGGATTTAGAGTTTTCATTGTCATCTGCCCACAACTATGTGTATACATGTGCTCACAACTTTACACGTAACAGTGACGCCGGCAAACAGAAAAAACACAACAATAAAATGCAAGACAAAAAACATTGGTCCCACAGGTGATGGCTCAAAAAGCGTCCCTTGATACCTTGGAAGTGCAAGCTAACAATAGTGACGGTTAATATAAGGGGCCTCATCAGAAATGCTGCATCCATCGACAGACAAATCAACCTTACCAAAATGGAATTTCAAACGCTGTCCTTAAAACCTTGGACGCTGGCCCTGCATCAGCCTGAGCTAGCCGGCTAAGCAGTGCCCAGAGAAAATCATGTCACGGGCCAAACATCGCTCAATGGTGAAGACACATTTTTGGTGATTTTGTTTGTGACGTCTTGCCAAGTTTCTGGAAGGTTTGCTGGATATGTAGTGGGGCTTGGGGGTCAGTGGTTGTCTGAGCAACGTTTGATTGATTTTTTGGTTTTTTGCAGATGCCTGGCTGGCTTGCGGGGTCTGGAATGGTCGTTTTTTGGGGGGGGGTGTTGTCCCTGGGAGGGTCTGTGGTCTTTGTATTTGTTGTTCGCTTTTTCCTCGCAACAACCACTCCAGATCCTCCCAAACACAACCCCCCAAAAAAACAGAAAAGCGATTAAAATTAAAAAACACGCCAGACCCGCAGAGACACCCAAAAAAACTCAACCAAACACCAGACGCCCCCCCAGAAGTTTGCCCTGCCAGCAACTCGTGCGGCATCCAGCACATGGGTCACACCGTTTCTTTTTGCATGGTGGTTTCAGGGGGCACTCCGTTATCGTGGGCCTGATCCAAAAGAGCTTAAGCGGCCTTTCTTGTTGGTTACCTCCAACATGGTAGCCTGAGAATCGTTTCTTTATTGTGGGTTTGCTGCAAGTTTTCCAATAGCTCGAGGGGCGTTTACTTTCTTGTCGCGGGCCTGATCCAAACTGTCTAACAGCCTCTCATTTTTGCATGCCTTTCAACTATTGCCTGTTCTTCCTATTTGTGGTGTTTTTAATGGACCATGTAGTTGTTTTTTAGGGGGCAGTGTGCCTGCTCTATAAATTCATTGTTCTTTGTTTTTGTGTTTCTTTCGCATTGGTTTGTTGCTAAAAAAATTCCTGGAAGGCCCCACTGTGGTTGCCCAAGTCGAAATTGCTGAATTTACACAATATTACGAGGCTAACACTCACTGAACACAAGCGTTCTGTCTACTGAAGGTAGCAGCCTGTGAAATTTCAAAACGCCTGAAACTCCTGAGGCTCTTTGCAGTCCACTTGTGACTGCGAACAGAGCAATCACTCAGAACTCATCTTCGTGCTGTGCCAAGTTCCGGAACCAGAAAGCAATCTATTTGCACGGATCTGGTAGTTTGGAAAACTGCCGCTTTTTGCAATCCTGAAACGATGGCCATCGCTGTGGCGCGGATCCACAGCTTGGATATAAAAGCAATTTGATCGCCAAGGGCCGGCTGACGCATACACACGCAACTTGGTTACCTGACATCAAATTACATGGGCACTCACGCAAACAAACAATTGAAATGGTATTGCGTGCTTTTGCTGTTGAAAAAATATTGGGAATAGTAAGAATCGCCACAGCTGCTTCCTCTGCTCATGCACTGTTGAACTCTACTTTCTTGACGCTCTTGGCCCGAATCTTCCAATTCCCAATGGCCAGGAAGCCTTCACAAGCATGAGTTTTTGATTTGGGGGCCAAAGGTTTTTAGTTTTTTTCCCCACATTCACTGTGAGGTTCTACTTGTTTAGATGCACCGTCGCCCGCCGACATGCGCATGCTCTTCTGTCGCGCAAACATTTGGGACACGCTCTTGTTCGCTTAAAAATCGCGCTCTTGTTCGAGACATGTTCAAAAAATCGGCATATTTCAACTTTCGATCACAAAAATACGAGACATCGCCTTTCAAGTGCTCTTGGTACAGGGGTCCGGATGCGAACCGGTCGCGCCTCGATTTAGCAAA